CCCCTCAGTAACTTTATTTCCCTCATAAAAAAATTCCCCTGTGTCCCTGAGTAACAATTCTGGGGGTCCCCTGAGTAAGTTACAATTCTGTGGCTGGTTCCCATGAGTAACAATTCTGTGTTCTGTCCCTGAGTAACAAATTCTGGGGTCCCCCCTGAGTAACGATTCGTGGTGTCCTCAGTAACGATTCTGGGTCCCTCAGTAACGATTCTGTGTCCCTGAAGTATCAAAATTCGGTGGGGGGGCGTAGTGGGTGGTGGGGGGGTTGCGGGGGGTGTTTTGTCTGGGGTGTTTTGTTGGGGTTGGGTGTCTCGGTTGGTGTTGTTGTGGTTGGGGGGGGGTTTTGGGGGGTGGGGGGGCTGGTGTGTGGGTTTTGTTTGCAATCTGTGGTGTTATCGGTGCCCGGTTCCCCTGAGTAACGGATTCTGTGGTCCCTGAGTAACGATTCTGTGTCCCTGAGTTAACGAATTCTGTGTCCCCTGAGTAACGAATCTGTGTCCACTGAGATAAACGAATCTTGTTCACTGAGTAACGATTCTGTGTCCCCTGAAGTAACGATTCTGTGTCCCTGAGATAACGAATTTCTGTGGTCCACTGCGTAACGAATTCTGTGAGATCCCTGAGTAAACGATACTGTGTCCCTGAGTAAACGATTCTGTGTCCTCGAAAACTGATTCTGTGTCCCTCAGTAACAAATTCTGAGTCCTGAGTAAACAAGTCTGTGTCCCTGAGTAACGATTCCTGTGTCCCTGAGTAAACGATTCTGTGTCCTGAGTAACGAATCTGTGTCCCTCAGTAATGATTCTGTGTCCTCTGAGTAACAGTCTGTGTGTCCTGAGTAACGATTCAGTGGTCCCTGGAGTAACGATTCTGTGTCCTGAGTAAACACTTCTGTGGTCCCTCAGTAACAATGATTCTGTGTCCCTCAGTAACAATTCTGTGTCCCCTGAGTAACGATTTCTGTTGTCGTCCTGAGTAACAATTCTGTGTCCCTGAGTAACATTCTCCTTTGATTCCTGTGTCCCTGAGTAACAAATTCTGTGTCCCCTCAGTAACAATTCTGTGTCCCTGAGTAACGAATTCTGTGTCCCTCAGAGTAACGATTCTGGTAGTGTCCCTACAGTAACAATTCTGATGGCCCTGAGTAACACAATTCTGTGTCTGTCCCTGAAGTAACAATTCTGTGTCTCTGTGTCCTCTGTAACAATTCTTTGTGTCCCTGAGTAAACAATTCTGTGTCTGTCCCTGAGTAACAATTCTGTGTCCCTGAGTAAACGATTCTTGAGTCCCTGAGTAACAATTCTGTGTCCCTGAGTAACGATTTTTACTGTGTCCCTCAGTACCATTCCCTGAGTAACAAATTCTGTGTCCCTGAGTAACGATTCTGTGTCCCTGAGCAACGATTCTGTGTCCCTGAGTAACAATTCTGTGTCCCCTGAGTAACGAATCTGTGTCCCTCAGTACAATCTTCTGTGTCCCCTGGTAACAATTCTTTGTCTGTCCCCTGAGTAACGATTCTGTGTCCCTGAGTAACAATTCTGTGTACCCTGAGTTAACAATTTACTGTGTCCCTGAGTAACGATTCTGGTGTCCCTAAGTAACGATTCTGTGGCCCTAAAGTTCTCTGTGGCCCTAACTCTGTCCCTAATATACACAGAGGTCTGTCTCTCTTGAATGACCGGAGGGCTAATGAGAATTCTAAGATGGCCGCGATTTATAGCTCCACCATTACACAGTGCTGGCTGGCTGCTGATTGGCTAATGCGATCACATGTCATGAATGAATGCATTATGGGTCAAGCGCGCCTTGTCTGCGCGCCCTTCCCCAGAGATCCCCGCTCCGGCGCCACACATGTCGGCCGCTATTTTTGCGGAAAATTCGATTCGTGCATCCGAAAGTTTGCTCTAAATTTTCGGATTCGGCGCGAATCGAATATTTCCCTAATCTTCGAAACGAATTCCACTTCGTCATGTTCGATTCGCTCATCTCTAGCAACAGCACCTGAAAGACCCACATCATAAAAAAGTGCAGACTTCTCCCTGTTCCTCATCTCGGATCTCTACCCCTACTATACTCAGTTGTCTCAACAAGTCTTCACTCTGAGAGGGATGAGGTATACCAATGGGTGCTCAGCTTCTTTCACGCAATCTGGCTAGTAGTACAACCACCTGCTTGATTTCACCAGGCAAATGTTGCTGCCTCAGTTGCTGAAAACCATAAAAAAAAATACTATCACACCCATCCACATGCTCCGTGTCTACAATGCTAGCTTGGTCAAATTGCTAACAGTGTCAAATGCCTTTCCATCTAGTGGACTCTGTCCTCTTCCGTGAATTTGCAGAATGCGCAGTAACCACAGTGGCAGGTTCAGAAAATAAATTTCTTTCCCCATAAGGCACTTAAGGCCATTTTCTATCTCTGTATCATCATGAGGAAGGCAAATATTTGGCCTTGTCGGACAGGGCAGTCAGAAGCAAGGTCCACATTAATGTTGACACGTGGTCCAGCAGGCATGGTTAGGGATGTTACATTTCCTTCAAAGCACACTGGGTAACTCTGCTGGCAGCTAGGAAGGATGAAGGAAGAGTTTCAGTGCTGGAGCTTGTTCAACCACCCTGCCTCCAGAAAGTATGGTGGTGATCTTGCAATATATGACTGCTCCACCCCTCCTCTTCCTCTATGGCCTATTCTGCTCCATAAGCATTCAAGGGGCTACACAAGCAGTCAGGCTGAAAGTGCTGCAGTGTGCTTGAGCTGGTCTGTCTAGGGGAAAGGAGCCACTTTGGGGCAAAAGATTCTATCAGAGGTGGTTGACGTCATGGCAGCTTGAGCCAGGAATGATTGTAGGCGACAGTGGCACCAACCTTCTCTCCGCCTTCTCTCCATCAGTGACACTTGACACACTGCATGTTCCATTACTGGCACACGTCCTGAATTTTGTGGTGCAGCGTTTCTTGAAAAGGTACTCAGGCTTACAAGATCTTCTGAGGCAGGCCAGGAAAAATCTGTGGCCATTTTCTTCAGTCATACATGGCCAGTGTTCGGCTGGCTGACATTCAACGGGAATATTCAACCTGCCCACCAACTGCCTCATTTGTGTGTGCCATGCCCACCAGGTGGAACTCAACACTGCCACGTCCTTAATGCTGCAGTGGTCTGCGCACACAGCAAACGGCCATCATTGAGTACCTGTATGAGTATGACACAATTCAGACAGGCTCCAGGGAGCTCGGCTTCTTTTTGCCATGCCAGTGGCTGCTGATAAAGGATGCATGCACTGTCCAGTCACCATTTGAGGAGGTTACAAGTATGGTGAGCAGTGACAATGCATGCATCCAGTGACAGGTTTTATCCCTCTCCCCCCCCCCCCCCCCCCCCCCCCCCCTTCCTGCTGGAAAACACGCTGCATGGAATTATGGACAGGGCACTTGAGGCAGAACAGCGAGAGGAAGGGGAGGACTTCCTTTCCTCTTAAGGCCCCCTTTATTCAGACAGGAGGAAGAGGGAAAAGGATTGTGACAGCATGGAAGTGGAGAAATAACATATGGCAGTCTTCAAGGGAAGGTTTTCAGTCCCCAGAAAACCCAGCCAGGAGTGGTACATGGCTGGGAGGAGGTAATTCCCGACAGTGTCATCCTCAGTGATCCAGAGGACTAAGAATCTCATGTCTCCTCAAACTTACACTGCATGGGCTCCCTGATTCTGCAAAGCCCGCAAAAGTACCTGAGGATTCATGGCATCAAGGGTAAAGTTACAGAGCTCAACCTGCCTTCGCAGAGGGAGCAGAGGATGAAACATCTTCAGGGTACCTTTTGAAGAAAAATCTTTGTGTAACACCTTTCCAGACACTAGGAGGTTACTGTTTCCTGGACAACATATTTCTGAGGTTTGTTCTGTCAAGGAAGAAGCAGTGGAGAAGGCGGCCAGAAGACTGATGTCTTTAAACAATTCTTTACTTCTCAGTGCCCAGGGCTGTTTAAACACCCATCGGCAGCATCTACATCATATGGAGCAGGATTATCTAGGGGCAAGAGCAGACTTGGAGACCTTTCCAACTAAGGATTCACTGGGTTACTGGGTCTTGAGGATGGATCACTGGCCAGAACTTGCTCAATTTTGCAAACGAGGTACTGTCCTGTCCTACATCCAATGCGCTTTCTGAATGGACATTCAGTGCTGCTGGACGTTTTGTGACGGATAAAAGAGTGCATCTGTCCACAGACTCCATTGACCGGCTGATATTTATCAAAATGAATCAGCCCTGAAACAGGGGCGGACTGACAACTCATGGGGACCCCGGGCAATAGGGGATCATGGGGCCCCTGTGTCCTTGCCCAAACTCAAAAAGCCTATGAAAAAGGTACCAGGGGCATCTCATGGGGCGCCCTACTGACCCCAGGCCCTCGGGCAGTGCCTGAGTTTTCCAAATTGGTCAGTCCGCCCTGGCCCTGAATCAACAGCAGCTATCAAGTCCCTGATTCTGATGTAACTGATTAAATTTGTTAGGGATCTGGGATCCCTTGAAGACTGCCTATGCTGCTTATTCTATTCCTGAATCCTGACTATGCTAGCTTTTAACAATGTTTTTGGTTTAAGGCACCACAAACACCCAAGGTAATTTAAATTTTTTTAAATATTTTAAAAAATTTTAACAGCAAAAAAAGAGTAGGAAGATGGATCTGGATTAAATTGTGGTGGAGATTGTAGACTGGAGAGTAAAGGAGATCATACCTACCCGACTTATAAGGGAAAAGCGCCATTTGACCTAAATTATATAGATCAAATACAGGAGGTGAGAGTATATATGTGTGTTGGTGAAGGAGGAATGCAAATGGGTGATTATCAACAAGGCAGGAATTTGCACGAATATTAATGATAATATAGGAGCATTTTAACTGCCTCCTGCCCGCCATATAGTACAATTATTGGGCGCAAGGCGGTTCTCTCGTTCTGGGAGGACATCCTCCCATTCTAACCACGCATGTGCGGCTGTGGGAGAGTGCAAGCCAACAATCGCCGGTGCGCTGTGTCCCTCCCTGTCAACCAAAAGAGCCGAAGATGTCAGCTCGGTCATGTGATCAGCTGTGTCCAATCACAGCTGATCACATGTAAACAGGGAAATGCCGGTTATCGGCATTTCTCTCCTCACGAGCTGTCGCGCTGACAGCGCGTGAGGAGAGGAAAGCCGGTAATCGGCATTCCTCAGAGGGGACATGTACACAGATCATCAGAGCACTGATGATCAGTGTGCCCTGATGATTGTGTAGCCCCAGCAGTGTCACCTGTCAGTGTCCATCAGTGCCAGCTGTCAGTGCTCATCCATGCCACCTGCCAGTGCCCATCAGTGCCCACATTTCAGTGCCTACCAGTGCACATCAATGCCACATATCAGTGCCCATCTGAGCTTCCTTTCAGTGCCACCTATCAATGTCAGTCAGTGCCACCTATCGGTGCTGCCAAATCAGTGCCACCTATCAGTGCCAGTCAGTGCGACCTATCAGTATGCATCAGTGCCGCCTATCAGTGCCCGTCAGTGCTGCCTATCAGTGTTGCCTAACAGTGCCAGTCAGTGCCACCTAACAGTGCCAGTCAGTGCCGCCTATCAGTGCCAGTCAGTGCCACCTATCAGTGCCGCCTATCAGTGCCATATATGAGTGCTGCCTTTCAGTGCCCGTCAGTGATGCCTGTCAATGTCCATCAGTGCCACCTACTAGTGCCTCCTCATTAGTGCCATCAGTGCCACCTATCAGTGTCCATCAGTACAGCCTATCAGTGCCCATCACTACAGCCTCATTAACGCACTTCAGTGAAGGAGAAAAATCTTTTATTTACAAAATTTTATAACAAAAACTAAGAAAAAAACTTTTCTTTTCAAAATTTTCAGTGGTTTTTTGTTTGTTTAAGAAAAAATAAAAACCCAGAGGTGATTAAATACCACCAAAAGGAAGCTCTATCTGTCTCAAAAAAAATGATAAAAATTTCATATGGGTACAGTGTTGCATGACCACGCAATTGTCATTCAAAGTGCAACAGCACTGAAAGCTGGAAATTGGCCTGGGCAGAAAGGGGGGTATAAGTGCCCTGTAGGCTAGTGGTTAAAGAAGCAGGATCCTATACAATTTATAAGGACTTGAGGGGTTCATTTGTAATTTTGCTTGAAATACTGTGACTTTTTGGCACTAATATGACTAAATGCGCTATATATGCATGATTTGCAAAAATGGTATATATAGTTTGTTGAAGTTTTTCAGAACATATGAAATATAATATTGTTTTTTAGTACTCTTTATGGCACGTGAGTATTGCGCGGCACTGATTGTAAAAAGTTTTAACCTGTGTGACAGGTGCATATCATTTCAGTTTTAGAGGAGTGCAATTCATGCGCTCATCAAGGTAACTGTAAGGGGTTACAGTGCACAGGCACCAACACTCAAGGCCCATTTTTTCAATACTCTGTGTGACAGGTGCATATTGAATTTTTAGAACAGGTTCCAATCTTTCACTAGTCAAGAATAAGTTTGAAGGGTTACGGTGGCACCACCAACTGTTCGCCTGCCAAACACCCAACAATGCACTGCGCTCTCACAGTGCACAATCCCCACCCCCACACTATGTAAGACAGAGGGGAGAATACTCTCCCTGAAAAAAACCGATAAATAAATAATAATAAAAAATAAAACAAAAAAATACATTTAAAAAAACCAACGTGGGGTCCCCCCCCCAATCCTTACCAGGCCCTTTAGGTCTGGTAGGAAGGCTAGGAGGGACCCCACAGTAAAACAATATTTAAAAAAAAAGTGTGTGGGATTCCCCTTAAAAGCCATAGCAGGCTCTTAAGGCCTGGTAGGACTTTTAAGAGGAACCGCCGCCTCCCAAAAAATTTAGGAAAAAAGGCATGGGGGTTCCCCTAAAAGCCATACTGGGCCTAAAGAGCCTTTTAAGAGGAACCTTAAACCCCCCAAACATGGGGGGGAAGCAACAAATACCCCTTACTCATTCAGAAGGGGGTGACAACATCAGGGTGCCCTCTTATTTAAAGGGATGCTCTGAATGCTACTGACTCCCCCCCCCCCACCTGCAGACCCCCACAACCACCAGGCAAGGGTTGTAGGGAAGAGGCCCTTGTCCACCATCGGCATGGGGACAACCATCCCCACGCTTTTTCTTACTATTTTGGGGGTGGGGGTTTCCCTTTAAAAGTCCTACCAGGCTTAAAAGACCTGGTATGGCTTTTAGGGAGAACACCCACGCACTTTAAAAAAAAAAACAATACTGTGGGGTCTCTCCTAACCTTCATACCAGACCAAAACTGTCTGTCTATACACATTGTACAAATGTGCAACTTTGCAGGAACTTTACATGTGACTCCCCAGGCACATGATATTTAAAGGAATTTTTCTTTTTTATTTTTTTTTTTACTTTAATCAATTTTTTTTTTTCACTGATTTATATCCCTCAGGGCAGTAGTACCTGAGTCTCCATATTTCTTTTATGGCCAATAACTTGCATATAAGCCTTCAAAATGGGCACTTTTGATTTTACAAGTTCAAGTCCCATAGACTTGCATTGAGTTTGAAGTTCGGGGATGAACTTTTGTTAGGTTTGAATGTTCTACCGTGAACCGAACAGGGCCCATCACTACTAAAAAGCAATGTTATTGGCTTATCACTGACCATATGGAAGTGCTGCTTTAAAAAACTGAAAAGCACTCATTTAAAAAAAGTTTAAAAAATGTGCATTTGCTCTGCTGGCTCTGGATGTCTGGCTGGTTACAAATAGTAATATAGATATCTTATTGTTGCCTAACTAAATAGAACAAAATAAAAATGAGTTTCATTTAGTTTTGAATATAATAAAATCATAAAGCAAGTATTAACAAAATCACTTCACTTTAACAATCACTATAACATACATCAATGTGCAAGCATTACCATATCCCAAAGGTGTGAATGAACCCTCAACATGTTAAACAAAACTTTAAGGGGATGTAAAGTGATTTTGTTAATATGTGTTTTACATTTTTATTATGTTTAGAATTAAAAGAAACTAATTGTATTTTAACCATAAAATATTTATATTTCTTGTTTACCACTTATAGTCCACAGGACTTCCATAGCACATTTGTACAGTACAAGGTGAACATAAACATAAACATAAACATGTTGAGCCCTCCTTTTTTTTTTAAAAAAGCAATTTTAGCATATGGACAGTAATATGATCATAGTACTGTTTTATGTAATATAGAACACAGAAATAATAATTTAACATAAATGTAGGTATTTAAATACCTAATGATTCTGTCAGTGGCTTCCTATTGCATGGTTATGTATCTACCAATACAGAGAGGAGGTATCATAGAGGACTCTCTGGGGTTTATTTACTAAAGCTGGAGAGTCCAAAATCAGACTCCCTTCTGCATAGAAACCAATCAGCTTCTAACCTCAGCTTGTTCAAGTGAAGCTTTGGCAATGAAACCTGGAAGCTGATTGGTTTCTATGCAGAAGTGAGTCTGATTTTGCACTCTCCAGCTTTAGTAAATAAACCCCTCTGTATCATTTCTTGAAAGGTGCTTTATTAGGTCACTTGTCCTGATTTCAGTGGATAGAAAGACCCTGGGGGCACCTGTGAAGACATTACAAGGGTCAAGTCGAGGTACTGTAACTAAAAAAAAAAAGAAATGTGTTTTTTTTTGGAGGTCTCAAACTCTCATTTTATATAAAAAATATGTTGTACAGATCAAGTACATCAACAAAACCAAATACACTCGAATGCCCCAAAAGCTATCATTGTGGAGTCCAGGATACTACTCAGGAGCCACAGATCTGAAACGTTGTTTTAAATAAGTGTTGCGTCCCCTCAAAAAACAGGGGCTGAGACCAGAACAATGTGAGGGTATTTAATGAGCAGTTGCTGTAATCTGCACTGAAATTAGAGTGAGGAAACTAAGCCGAAAGGCTACACAAAAAGTAAGTAGAGAAAAAATAATGACGAAAAGAAGGAAAGTGTGTGTGTGGGGACTGTACCTGGCTAGTGAGTCAACTGACAACCCCCCCCCCCCATAAAAAAAAAGTGCAGATAGAAAAACCTTGAAGCAATCATAGGAAGGTTTATCAGAAGGGGAATAATCGATTCCAAGTGTACCATAATTCCAAGAATTTTGGGTAGTGTTCATAGAGGCAAGTAATAAACTCTTGCATCCTCATAATGTGGTTAGGTTCTGACACCCACTTACTAATAGTGGGAAGTGTAGTTGTCTTTCAATGCTTGGGAAGTACTGCTTGGGCTGCAGATAAGAGAAAACAAAATATTTCCTTTTTAGTCTTGGTGATTGACCCAGGTATGATCAAGAGGAGAGCACTTTCCAGGGTTTCCTGCCAGGGTTTACCTGTGATGAGATGACAAATCCAAAAAATGGAATTCCAGAAAGACCAGATATGACAGTAGGTCCACCGCAGGTGCAGGAGAATTCCATCCTGTTCTCAACATCTCCAGCTCCGGTCAGGAATTGATGGTATAATTTTATACCACAGGGCCAGTCTTCTGTACCATCTTGTCAGAATTTTGAATTTTCTCTCCTAGGTTTGAGTAACTATACTAGTTTTAAAGGTCATCTTCACAGTTAAGGTGTCTCAATTCTCACTCCCAGTCCCTTATATAAAAGGGAGGGCTTGGAAAGACCCCTGAGAAGAGAATGTTATAGAGCTGAGGGATGGCACATAGACAGTGTGAGTCTGGTAGGCACAAGGCTTCAAAGGGTTTTAGGTCCCTGTAAAGCTGCCCCATCACCCAGACTTGATGAGGAAATGCTGTAGCTGCAGATAGTGTAGCCATCTTCCCTGGTGGGTGATATCTTGGGTCAAAATTTCCATAAGTGATCTAATCCCAGACAGGCCTATTGTCTGTTTAGGGGAGATAAGTGAATCCCTCCAGCACAGTAAAAGTTTGCAGTACATGCGCATCTGGATTACTAAAGATTGTTGTGAGTGAACGGACATACGTGGAAATGCTATATTTCCTATTTACAAAATCCCAGACATGTAAGAGGGAGGCCACTAAGGAAGGAAATAATGAAGTCAGTGGGTGTAGGGCTGAGTGAATCTAGGGTACCATTCCCTGTTTAGGGCAATGAACTTAAGGGATATAAGTTATGTTGTATAAATCTGAATAATTGGCGTTAAATGTGGACGTGATTAATTCTGGAGAATGCACCATTCCCGCTTAGGGCAATGAACTTAAGGGAAATAAGCCCTCGTTATTTTAGTTCTGATAGACCTAGAAAGGGGCCTGCTGCATTTATTGCCATTTTTGTACATTGCTCAAAGAGCACAGTCTTTGTGACTGAAATAGGTTTGATCAATCTGTGTAGCTTTGTTCTTTTCTGTAGGAGTGTTTGAAAAACTGATGCATGATTAGAGTGTTTATGACGAAGCTCTAGGGTGTTGATGTCAGCAAGGAGTCCTACCATGTCTGACAATCTTTCCTTTTTCAGATGGGCACATTCTACTGTCAAGATTCCCCTAATGACACATTTCAAGGTTTTCCATTTTATTGGAGCTACCCTTGAGAAATTTCACAAATAACAGCTGCCCGAGTTTGGACCCTATTGGGGAAAGAGGTCCATCAGTAGTCCTGAGTCTACACCAGTTTGTCTCAGTTTGAGACAGATTGAAGGTCACATTTATCAATTCTCTTCATAACAATCTACACACAAATAAAAATACAATTTTTGTACTACAACGTTTAGAAACCACATCTCATGTGGTGTGAGGCCTTGACAGCAGTATGTGTTATTTTCATACAACAC